GTGTATGTGTGCTTGATAGTTTATAATTAGCAAGTTATTATTGTTAGTAGTAATAGTAATATTATTAGTAGTAGTATGACAATTTTTCTGTATGTGCGTTTCATAGTTTATAGTTAGCAAGACAATATTATTAGTAGTAGTTGTAATAGTTGTAGTAGTAGTACAACAATTTTTCTGTATGTGTGCTTGAGAGTTTACAGTTAGTAAGTTAGTATTATTATTAGTAGTAGTAATATTTGTAGTAGTAGTAGTATAACTCTTTAAGTATGTCTGCTTGATAGTATATAGTTAGCAAGTTAATATTATTATTAATAGTAGTAATAGTAGTAGTAGTATAACAAATTTTCAGTATGTCTGCTTGATTATAGTTAGCAAGGTATTATTTTAGTAGTAGTATTAGTATAACAATTTTCAGTGTGTGCCTGACAGATTCTAATTAGCATGTTATCATAATTATTATTAGTAGTAGTATAAAAATTTTCAGTATGTGCGCTTGATAGTTTATAGCAAATTATTATTAGTAGTAGCAGTAATAGTAGTAGTAGTATAACAATTTTTAATATGTGCTTGATAATTTATAGTTAATTTATTATTATCAGTAGTATAAGAATTTTTCGGTGTGTATTCTTGAGAGGTTCTAGTTAGTAAGTTATTACTATTATTAATATTATTGTTAGTAGTAGTATTACTAGTAGCATAACGATTTTACAATGTGTTTAATAGGGTCTAGATAGTAAGTTATTACTACTATAATTATTATTATTATTAGTAGTAGTAGTAGTAGTATAAAAAATTTCAATATCTGTGCCTTGTAGTTTCTAGTAAGTTATTATTATTATTAGTAGTAGTAATAGTACAACAATTTTTCAGTGTGTTTGCTCAATAGGTTCTAGTTAGTAAGTTATTCCTACTATTATTATTATTAGTAGTAGTAGTAATAGTAGTAGTAATATAACATCAACAACAACTTTTCCAGTTTCTCTTCCCAAGTTTGAATGTTTACATTTCCACGTTTTCTTCTTTGCTAGCCTCGTTTTCATATCTGAAGCGTGTTGACCGCCTGTCCTTTCGCTTTCCGATATTTTCCCATCCGCCATTTTCAGTGGCCTGTCGAGCAAGGACGGTTACATGCTCGTCTCCTGTTTTCCAATTAAGCAACTCGTAAACCTTTCTTAGAGAATTTCGTTCTCCTTGAAGTGATCTTTTAATTTGTTCTGTTTTCTTTGTCTATTCATCTGGAGAGATCGTCTTCGGTTAAACAAGATATAGACTGACCGTAATGTCAGTCATTTGAGAATGGAAACAACCCCTAACCAGAACGAACTCTAATTGTTCACTAATTTAAAACAAACAAAAGAAAAGACGCCAGTGGAATATACAGCTAAACTTGGAATTGCTTATAAAGTTGCCATGTTAATTAAGAAAAAATTAGACTCACACACTATTTTATTATTTTTTGAAACTAGTTCTCTTCAGAATGTAAGTGATTAGGACTTTTTACAGCCTCCATGATTTTTTATAACTGTAAACTATTTAGGGTGGGCCAAAAGTACATCAGTCAGTTATGTGCCATGCGTGATACACGCTTAGGCGATCATGTATCTTTCGATACATGATAGACGAGGCTGATTTTTTTAACCGCAGTAAGTTGTCATTTCTTTCTGCGGTAGACCAGTTGCCATCCAAGGCTATAGAACCCGGTCAGTCTTACAGAAGTTAAGCAATGTCGAGCCTGGTCAGTATCTAGATAGGTGCAGTAAGCTTGGATGTGCAGGTGGTGTAATGGATAATGGATGGGAAGTGTTAATCGGAGAGCCGAGTTCCAATTCCCGTTGGGTTCGTTATATTCACCTACGCACAAATACCTTTCGGGGTGGGGGTATAAATCCACATCTTCCCCCCAGCTATGGGTTAATTAGTAAGACTTTTATCATTATTATCTCCAAAGAACTTTCACAATCTAAAAATATTTTCTGGCTTTAAATAACCTGAAAAAGGTTGATAAGCCGTAAAAAAATCTTACTCTGTGATCCTTTACTGCGAGTGAACGTTTAAAAAAAAAAAAGAAAAATTCTATATATTGAGACAGGATTAGCTTTGACTTAAATTCAATAAAACTCTAGTTTTGTCATTGATATCCAATGGCTCGATAGTAATATTTTTGAGAGTAGAACACAGTGAGTGAAAGAGTATGTCTAAAGTTAGTTATAAGAAAGAACTTATCTGCAAAAAGAAAGAGATCTTGAGACGCCGAATCTCCTAGAAGACTTGGAATCAATGATATGACGTTTCTTTCGCCCAGGGATGGGAAGGTTATTCAAAAAACGGTAAGAAAGAGACGGTACCGATTGAATTGCATCGCTTGTCTGCGAAAGAAATATCTCAAAACAGATCACGTCCTGGGTATGACGATAAACTACATCCGCGTCCTGGGTATGACCATAAATTACATCCGCGTCATGGGTATGACGATAAACTACATCCAACAGCAAGGCCTCTGACCTGGAGGTTTTGAGGAGCATGGAACCACCTCTTAATTGCTGGCGTTCCCAGGTCCACCTGACCCGGGGTGGTAGCACCTGTTAGGGTCCCAGCTATGAGCAAACAGCTAACACCCAAATTTGTGTAAAATAGGTTTTAATGCCGGAAATACTTAGTAATAAAAAAATTATTAGCAATACTTAAAAAAAAATACCAGCAATACAAACAGTTACACATTCTTTGAAAAGAATATGACCAGTTATAGATTTCTTCAAGGAAAAATATTCCCAGAAATAGATTTTTGAAGAAAAATATTGCCAGCAATAAAACTTTGTCGGCATTAAATTACCCATTGAGGTTGATATGCCGTAAACAAAATAAACCAAACCAATCTAAACCAAAGAATACATATTCTATTTATACGAATCTATCCTAAAAATGTTGTCGGCATTAAATAACCCATTGAGGTTGATATGCCGTAAAACACAATAAACCAAACCAATCTAAACCAAAGAATACATATTCTATTCATACGAATCTATCCTAAAAATGTTGTCGGCATTAAATAACCCATTGAGGTGTTGATATGCCGTAAAACACAATAAACCAAACCAATCTAAACCAAAGAATACATATTCTATTCATACGAATCTATCCTAAAAACGTTGTCGGCATTAAATAACCCATTGAGGTGTTGATATGCCGTAAAACACAATAAACCAAACCAATCTAAACCAAAGAATACATATTCTATTCATACGAATCTATCCTAATGACTTTATTGCCTTGCTTGGGGTGATATGATTAAAAAAATTGTTATAGCCTTGTTAGGGCCAGAAATAAAAACACAAAGAGAGGAATTAAGTTAAACAAATATATTAACAGAAACAGTAATGCAAACATATACAAACGAGAGCGTTACAGCAAGAATGTTCAGTCCTGACTGCTGGAAACTTCCCTCTCCAAAAGGCAGTACCTGCTCCTATTTATAGCTGGGAGAATCCATGTGTGCGTGGGTAAATTACCATAACAAAAAGAAAAAAAAAGAAAAAAGATCGAGAAAGAACTTCATTTATTAACAAGACGAATTAATTCCACTGTGTATTTTCTCCAGATTTATTCTCCAGATGTACTCTCAAGTGCGCAGAGCTAAATCGAATGAAACCAATGCTCATCGAAGGTCAAGGTTCAATTTAACCGTTCTGCGTTGTCGAGAACAAGTAAATGGTTAAAGAAATAACAAGTCTTTCAGATATATCATATATTAAACAGTAAGTACAACAGAAGAGTATTACACGACTAGTAAGTGTGTGTCGGTTGACCCAGCGTTCAATCTATTCGACTGTTAATAATTAACAGCCCCCACGAGGGATGTTTATGGCACAAGGCCGAGTTTACTGTGGGTTCTCCAAGCTCGTAGGCTCTTTAGATAGCGAGAAAAACGGTTGCAAGACAAAGAAAGAAAAGTAGTAATGGGCCATACTCTCTTATAATTCAAAGCAAAATGGAAAAGCGCCATAACTCTATATATAGCAAGAAAATGATTGAAAGCCGAAGAATTGAAAAGTGGGCAATATACCTAAGCCCGTTGCTATCTAAAGCAAACCAGACCTGCACCGTAACCTTTTGGATAGCAAAAAAAAAAAAGGAAGGTAAAAGAAATGGAAGCCACGTACCTCAGTCTATTATTATCCAAAGCAAACAAGACCTGCGCAGTAAGCGTTTTTATAGCAAAAAAATGCTGCAGGAAGAAATAAAAAGCCAAGTACTTCTATATCTTAATATCCAAAGCAAACTAGACATAAACTGTAACCCTTTGGATAGCAAGAAAAAAATTGCAAGATTAAAAAAAGAAAAATAAAGCCAAGTACCTCAGCTTCTTATCACCCAAGGCAAACTGGATTATCCCGTAACCCTTTGGATAGCAAGAACACCACGAAAAGCAATTCGATCTTCTACAGGTAACTCACTACAAAGGCCTTGTGCCAACATTCGTTTCGCTTGATATAAAACCTTGCAACTACAACTCCCCACTTTTACATTTTCTCTATTATTCTTCTTAATATTGACTTTTTTTTTCACTTGGCCTCGATTTTAGCATCGCGTTCGGATGCGGGGAGGGCGGGGATGTCAGCACCGGGGGAGGGGTGTTTTCATTCATCCATTCTAATGACGTCATGCACCTACGCATCAAATGCCGTCCGGAGAGATTTATGATCCTCTTATTAAATTCAACAACTGAATCCGTTCTTTCTTGTGGACATATAATCATGAGATGTAGCCAAGAAGGTTGAGTTTCTTATAGACTTAGACATCTTCTCTATCCTTCCTTTTTGTCCGCCCTTCGTGTTGGCCAACCCACACGTAATCTGGGTCTCGTTGCAAGCGACGCACACGCTACCGACGCAGTGTCTGGCGTGAAGTGGCCAACAAAATGGACGTGTATATTTTTGAACTTGTATTTCTTTCTTATTTTTGTTTTTGTTTTTGTTTTTGTTATTCGGTAAATAAGCAATTACATAGATAGATAGATAGATAGATAGATAGATAGATAGATAGATAGATAGATAGATATGACCAGAGTGAGATAGATAGATAGATAGATAGATAGATAGATAGATATGATCAGAGTGAGAAAGATATGACCAGAGTGAGATAGATAGATAGATAGATAGATAGATAGATAGATAGATAGATAGCGTTGACCACACTGATTCAGAAGATAGATAGATAGATATGACCAGAGTGAGAAAGATATGACCAGAGTGAGATAGATAGATAGATAGATAGATAGATAGATAGATAGATAGATAGATATACATGACCAGAGTGAGAAAGATAGCAGATATGAATGTACGAGAGAAAAATGTCTTAAAATAATTGTCGGACCTTGGCCATTTCATAATGTGTGACGTCATTTTTTTACATTTGGATACGCATCAAGCAGATATGAATGTACGTGAGAATATCATGGAAAATTGTAGCTTAAAAACAGTTAAAATCGACCTTGCTAACCGAACGCTCCTCTGTGTCTCAATCGGTAAAAGCACGTCAGGCTATATGACGGTTCCGTATACGATACAGGTTCGATTCCTGTTGGAGGACGCATATTTTGTATGAAAATTTCACGGTCATTCAGGCCGGTAAATGTTGTTTAATACTGTTTATTATAAACAGAGCATTTACTTAAATATTTGTATCTATAAAAAGAACATATCAACATAAAAAATGCCTTAAAATAATTGTCGGACTTTGTCCATTTCATATATATATATATATATATATATATATATATATATATATATATATATATATATCGAGTGTAACAGCAAAATTGTCCATTTAAGAGATTAAGCTTTGAACCATTTATCTTAGAAATGATTAAAGATATCTTACTGGAATTCTCCGAAGTTCTTATATGCCTTTGAGCAATAAGAATGTATAATTACTTTTTAAGCTTAAAAGAAGAATCATGATGAAATTAACCATAAACGAAAATGACATGTTCATCATTAATTAACCATACCTAAGGATCGAAAGCCCGTGAAGGATTGAAATAAATTTCATATATATATATATATATATATATATATATATATATATATATATATATATATATATATATAAGTAAATGTTCTGTTTATAATAAACAGTATTAAACAAAAAGGACGAATATTTTCTATGAAAATTTCTTGGACATTCGAGCCGGTAAAATGTTATTTAATACTGTTTATTATAAACAGAGCATTTACTTAAATACTTGTATCTATAAAAAGAACGTTAAACATAAAAATGTTTCTTTAATAAATATATATATATATATATATATATATATATATATATATATATATATATATATAACCTCAATGTTCACTTTTATATTTTCGTAGGCTCTATCCCTGATATCGAGCACTTATTTTGCCATATATATATATATATATGACAAAACAAAATATATGACAAATATATATTGTGATATATATATATATATATATATATATATATATATATATATATATATATATATATATATATATATGACAAGATATAGGTTTAAGTTATACTATATTTATGGGTTAAAGTGCTCAATATCACGAAGAGAGCGTATGTAAATATAAAAGTGGAAATTGTGAGTCAACACCCACAATCGACAGTGTTTTTGCCCGTTTATTTATATATATATAGGTCATTGTTGCATTGTGGGTAATCTATTGTATTGCATTGTGGGTAGTCTATTGTATTATTGTAACAGTTACTTTGCTTGGCGGATGCCAGTTTGACTTGTCTTGACTTGAATCGGTTTTCACCCTGGTCGTGTTGAACCGGCTTCCTCCCGAACAAGTACAGCATCACGGACCATCGCTGCCCACGCTCGCCGATCCTGAGCCAGGTCACACGAAATGGCGAGCCAATCGCGATTTCATCGTCGAAGACCAACTACTTGTGGACCCGATAATACTGCTAGGTCATCCTTGATCGTGCTAGCCCACGTCCTCAGCTGCCCACCGACACGTTTTCGCCAGCCAGGAAGAGAAGGATGGAGAAGTACATCGCGGATGAGCGCTCCCTCCGGGTGTCGACCTGCGTGCCCGAACCATCGGAGACGACGCTGGAGGAGGACAGGTGGAAGAGGACGGAGACTCAGGCGACGACGTAGAGTGGCTGTGGACAATCGATCGATTCGGCGGCATCGTAGAATGCAGCGAAGGCAATCGTTGTCGAACACTTCAAGCCTTTGTAGGTCAACCGCTCTAAGTGGCCACGTTTCGCAGCCATAGAGAAGGATAGTCCGAGCCTGATAGATGCACCCCTTCGTAGCCGTGGAAATCTCCCGTCGCCCCCATAGTGACGCACGAATGCGGACCTTGCAGATCCTATACGGCGTTCAACCTCAGCAGCAGACTGCCCGGATGGTATAATGGTTGAACCGAGATAGACGAAAGACTGCCCGTCCTCCAGATTGACCCCGTCCAGCGTCAGTGGCTGCTAGTTGACTGGATCAACCAGGAACGGCAAAACTTTGGTTTTCGAGGCATTGATGGACATACTCACATCCCGTGTTGCAGCTTGCACACGGTTGAGCGCAGCTTGCACATCGCCACAGTTCGATCCGACCAAGACAATGTCGTCCGCGTAGGCCAGATCAGACACTGTCTGATCTGGATGTCAGTTTACTTCCTAACCTTTTATTTTAAGTAGTGTGGAATGCGAACATCTTGATTATGCCATTATTTTCTCTTCTTATCATATGCGCTATTCATTTGAGTTGTGGAAAGTCCACAAACATCTGATGTGGTTTCTGTTGTTTGGTACAGTTCTTTGTGAATCTGTAGCATCCGTCTACAATGTTCAAAGAAGGAAGATCTTTGCCAAGACCCCAAGGCTTCACTCCACAACTGGAAGCAGTAATACGGAGCTGATCTCTGGTAAAATCTGAAACTGATCTTTTATCTAATCTCCTACGCTTTCCTCTCTTTTAGCTATTCATCAGTCTGCATATATTGACAACTGTCTATTCCATTAAGAGTGTTATCTACAAACACTATAATCTCAAAGTTAAATATGTGTTTTGTGTTATGCAATACTTATCTTCAGCAAAGTCAAAAAGGAGCTGAAAAATGTACAAAGAAAAACTTTGGAAGAAGAGAAATGTTTTTTTTGTCTTGAAAACAACTAAATGAGATAAATTGGTTTTATCTAATGGTAATATTAGCCGTTTCCCTACAAGGAAACATTTGGCATTCATTGACCGAGCAGCCAGTACTACTGCTTTTAGTTGAAATTTATGAAATCTTTCATAAAACAATTTTTCAGGAAAATAGGTTTTCTCAAGTCCAGTTGCTGTTATACCTCTTTCCAGTATTGATGTCAGTTTACTTCCTAACTTTTATTTTAAGTAGTCTGGAATGCAAACATCTTGATTATGAAATTATTTTCTCTTATTATATGTGCTATCCATTTGAGTTGTGGAAAGTCCACAAACATCTGATGTGGTTTCTGTTTGGTACAGTTCTTTGTGAATCTGTAGCATCTGTCTACAATGTTCAAAGAAGAATGATCTTTGCCAAGACCCTCAGGCTTCACTTGCTCAAAGATTTTTTTAACTATTGATCTTAGGAAGTGGTTGTATACAGTTGGCAGTTTAGATATTTCTGAACGGGTTTGACGCCATTCATGGCCTCCTTATGAAAACCTCCATCTGACGACGCTATTTAAGAACATGACTCCAGTTTTCAGGTTGATGTTTCGGCTTCGTAGCGATTTGTGGTGTTATGCGAAAGGGAATGAAACATATTTGACATTCAACGATTAGCCATCTTTCCAAAGTCTGCTAGCGGCCGTCACGTTACGATATTGAAGCCTATGAATAAACCAGAATGGTCCCTTCAACTGTTTTTCGCCACCAGCGATTTTTCAAAACCAAACTTCCAGTAATGATTTAAAAGAGACGGAAACATACAAGATATATTGCACAAATTGTCCAGTAGTTTACATCAGTGAAACATCCAGAAATCTAAAAAGAAAAGACTATATTTTTTCACTAGTGGTGCACCGTAATAGATCAGCGAACAATTTGGATTTAATAAAGCCAGTTTAATCAGAAGAGAAAAGGATTCTCTCAGAAAATGCAGCTAATCTCAAAATTCTAGAGGATAAACACGAACCATACATAATACCGCCGATCATCGCAAAAGCAATAATAGCACAATTAGCTATACGATATAGTAGAGGAAAAACAGTGATTTATTCGGAGTGGACGGATTTAAAATCCAACAGACATCAACGGCTCTTTTTTCTCACTCGTAACACAACTCTGCGTTTCATGCTCAATGCAATCGTCAGGTGCTGAATGAATTGCACGATCATTTTCTATTGAAATTGATACAATGCCATATTTTCGATGTCCTCTTATTATACATATAAGAGAAATAAATAATATACAACATCTATATATATATAAACTGAAGATGTCTGTATGAACAGAATAAAAGCTTTTGATTTTTAAAAATAACAACTCAAAATACGGCAAAAAATTTCCGTTATGAAGAAAGGATCAATTCATTCATAACGGATCTAAGCTTTTTAAAATAATATTTGAATTGATTTGCGATCTAAGGTTTTGTGTAGATGGATGCGAGATGGATGTCTCGCCATTTAAAATCATTAACCTTTGCATTAGTTTTGTGTGAATAATTATGTATATATATATATATATATATATATATATACACAGGGGGAAACAAATATTCGTACACATACAAATTTTTAATTTATTGTATTTCCAACTAATGAATAAACATACTTTTCATATAATTAACTGTATACACATGCATAACTAAATATGCATAGAAAACAAAAAGTTGATATAATAGAAAAAAATCCTATTTAACCATTTTAATGGGTGAAAAAAGTATTCATACAATACAAAAACGAATATATAATCTTCATTTAATTCTTTGTAGAATAGACATTATTCATTTCTACAGGAACCAACCTCTTCTTGTAGTTCTAAATTACTGATTTGCAAATTTTAGTTGGTATTTTGCGTCATTCTTCTTTGCATATGGTCTTCAGATCCGGTATGTATGCTGGAGCTCTCGATTGGATTTGAATTTTCAAATAACGCCACAGATTCTCGATTGGGTTTAAATCTGGCGACTGACTTGTCAATTTCAGGATATTTACATTATTTTTAGCAAGCCATTTCTTCGTAGATTTTGCAGTGTGCTTAGGATCATTATCTTGTTGGAAGACCCAATCAGGAGAATGTTCAAGATTTTCAACTGAAATCATTAAATTTGCTTTCATAATATTTTGATAT